GAGTTATTTAGTGGGTGAAATATAGCATATTATATTCCTCTTTCCTTACTAAACATCAGAGCAGCCAGTGGGTAAGCTAATAAAATATGCATAATAAAACAAATGTAATGATTTGAACTCTTTATTGTTCTTCATGTAAAAGAGGAGAGCTATTACCAAAACTCCTCCTTCCAAGAAGAGTTCCATGACCTTGGAGGATCCTAAACATGTGAAACAAAGATTTTAATGGGAAGAGGAAAATGGGAACATTTTTTCCATGTATGCAAACTCATTCCTATTCACAGAACAAAAGTTAGGTTCCAACTACATTCATAGCACATTATACCTACAGAAAAAAAGAGAGAATAAAAACATCAACTAACTAAATCTAGTGAAAAAAACATATTCATTTTGAGAAAACAAAACTGTAATTGATCTATTTTGAGATTGTGGAGGAATTCTGGCTTTGGGGGGGAATGAACATCGGGGCACTTAATGTTAAAACTGTGACACTTTAAATGATTGAGAAGAATTATATCAGACTGCCCACAAATACAAGAACAGCACCCCTATTCCTGAAGAAGAATGTCTTCTTTTTCAGGCTTTCATCCAAGCCTGAAGAAAAATGTTACTACATTAAGAAGATAATTCTTAATTATTCCTAATTGTTTTTGAAGTGTGCATGACCATACTTAATATAAGCTAAACAGGTAAAAGCCTGATCATTGCCTGGCTGGAAATCTGTTCATGAGCCACATGTAAATTATTTTAGCTCTTAGAAAGACTCACATAAAAGGAAAGTTTCTTTTTTTCAACTTTTTATCAAAGTCTAAGTAAAATAAAGAGTTCCACTTGAAACTGGTAGTGGATTCTTGGTTTCATGTTTGAAGGGGAGAGGCAAGGGAGTGAGAAAGAGGACAAGACTGAATGACTTCAGGGCACTTCCCAGAATTATTTCTGTGTTTTGAGCATGCAACTTTATGTAGCTTTAAAAAGATTTAAAAGGTGCTCTAGTTTTTTCTTTTTTAGGAAATCCTCATTTCTGTATTTATCTGCAAGGTATAGTTTTGCATTTCTCTTATGTAGAAAGCTTATACTTGCTTATATAGAAAGCTAGCAAAGAAGAGATATGTTCTTCTTACAAGTGAGATGCAATTTTGTCATTTATGATTAGAATGAGGCAATATATACCTATCAGGGTAATGTAAAAATGGAATGCTGTATTAAAACGTATTTTGGTGCTAGAAAATAATAAAATTGCTTTTGCTTCTGTAGCTCTCTATCTACAAAAACTTTCTTTCAGTTGGTCATTATACTCAGTTTAGAAAATTAATGTTCTGCAAATCATGAGCCCATCACCACTATTATAAAAAGACACAGAATTTCACTTATATTTTTACGAAATCTTTCTTTGGATTTCCTTAGGGAACTAAACATCATTCTCTTTCACAACACCAACCAAGACATATTAGGCGGTAAGAGACACCATGGAAGGGAGAGCATAATTGGGCCAAAGTTACTCAGGGAACTTTGTTCTTATGCATTTTTGACCCTATAACTAGATTTTATGCAATATCCAAATAGCTCTATAATGCTTCCCTCTCAATTCAATAAAAGCTGGAGTATGTGAGGAGTATGCAATGATTTTTTCTGGGATCAGTGAAGATTTATTATGAAATATCCATAGATATCACAAAATATCATATAAAATAGTAGACAGCCTAGTGTTAAATCTGTGCCATTTATTCCCAAAGCAAAATTATTTTCAAAGAAAAAAGTTATCCACCCCTCTTTTAGATGGATACTAATTGTAATAATTGGGAGTTATGAATTACATTCTACATAAAAAGTAATACAAAAGTATTCCACTTCTATAATTAGGTATGAAGACCAATTCAATTAGAGTTAATCACCACTGGATTTTCGGATGATTACACTTCTAAATCTCTTTCAAGCGCCTACTGAGTTGACATTTTCAAAGTCCTGTATGACTATACTTAGATTTGGGGGTGTGAAATTCGAATTACTTATGTTTAAACTATATTTTTCATGTTTCGCTCTAGGAAGAAAAAATGAGAATGCCTGCAACAGTGTTCCAAAAACATGTGCCTTATTAGAACATTTCTCAGATGCCACTGGATGCCGAAGAGGGCAGGTACTGTCTGGTTTGTAGAACAAGTCCTTAGATAGATATGAAGAGGTATCTATGTATAGTGGGCAACTATCCAACTTCAAAGGGCAAAGTGTGATTCAGAGGACATGTGGGCCTGCAAACAGCACCTGTTCTGAACATCTTAAAGCAAACGGGTCTTTTCCTGGGATTGCATATTCACTGCAGAAGGCAGCCAAGTGAGCTGAGGAGCGTCAGCTGCTTTTAGCAGCTGCATTTGCAGCCATGTGTGCTCTGAATCACATGCTGCCCTTCAAATCCACACACACACACACACACACACACACACACACACCGCTGTCCAAGATTAGATTGATCCTAATGCTGCTGGTCTTAAAGACATGGTTTTGTCATCAAGCTTCAGGATCCAGATGTGTCACAGAACCTATTACGTTGATTTGTTGTTGGTGGTTTTATTTTTACTCAGCTGCTGATTACACGAGGCGGGGGGGGGGGTTGGGTTACTATTATATGTTTTATGGCACTTTCAGCTGTTGTTAGCTACCCAGAATCATGGTTTTGAGATGGGTGACCATACAAATTGAATAAATAAATAATTTAAAGTTCTCTTTACAGTCCTTATACTGTATATATTGGAAGGAGGGGCAGGAGTAGATGTAGATGTATATTTGTAAGTATGACTTACAAAAATATTAAGAACATGATAATTAATTACTAATTGGTTCTGTCTGGAGACAAATGCTAAAATGAAGTCTCTGCCTTTCCAGTTTACCTTTGCTGAATGTTTATGAGTGAGTCAGCATGATATTTGTTATAACAAATGATGCAATGATGTATTTTTCTACAGTCTAGGATTGAAAATAGGACTGTAATTGTTTGTCACAGTTGTCAATAGGTACAATTGATAGAGAAGGAGATACAACTAATTTTGGAGATGCAAATCTTTACATTATGCATAGCATGGCTAAAATCAAGTTTATTTCAAATAGGATTATACTAACATAATTATAAAAAATGTGCTGACCATAAACTGATTTGATTGAATTACTTTCTGATCTGCTTCTGGAATTGTGTTTAATGCCAACAATATGATTCAGCTTCAGAAATCAGTTAACAAATTGTTTAATCATGTACAACAGGTAATAACACTTAAATATCCTCAATTGAGGTTAAAAAAATACTAAGTAGAGTTGGCCTTCATTTGTACTTGGAGGGAGATCACAAGACAATTCCAGCTGTTGGTTAGACTAGAAAAAAATAGAGGCAAATCATTTTCTATATTGCTGCTGTGAAATCACCTAGAATCAAGTCTGATTGGAAATTGTCTTGACCTTTTAATGTATAATCACTAATTATAGTTTGCAATTTGAAATTAAAACTTCTTGTTAGTTATATGAGAGGAGTGGAGAAAATTAAGACATTTATGTCTCTCTCAACTGTGATTAATACATGCAAATAAAGCCATTAGTATATATATATACTGTATATTTACATCCTTATTTTTAAAGTGAAAATATAATCCACAATAGATATTCATTGACATATATATAAAAACATATAATGTATGTATGATAATTAAATAGAATTAGAATAGTTCTAGGAGACTCAATTTTAATTAAGATGCTATTGTGTAGTATGAGGAGCTGAAATTAATTTTCATCCATAATGCTGTTCACCAGTAAATTACTTAAAAACTGCAGGTAGGGATCCTAACATAAACTTTGATCATTTTGGTTGGATTCAACTAGATATAGTATATTTCTAGAAGGTTGACATAATTGACATGAGTTTTTTAAAATCAACTGTACATCTTTTTGCAGATCAAGTATTCTGTCATGCACCCAGGGACTCATGTCTGGCCTCACACAGGGCCCACTAACTGTAGGCTGAGGATGCATTTAGGCTTGGTCATTCCTAAAGAAGGCTGCAGGATACGGTGTGCTCAAGAAACCAGGTATCTTTTCCACTCCTCACAACATTTTTTCTAGAGTGTCACGAGCTAGGATACTAAGAAATGGTATGGAAGGCAAGAGAAGCATCTCCATTGTAAGCTAAGCTAGCAAAGAACCATCATAGAGAGTAGTAAGACATATTGCTTAGAACCCTGCATATCTCCACCTAATTGGAGCTATATATTATGGTATCTGTACTTAACAATATCTACACAGGGATTGAATTTGGCATCATCCAAGTCCCTACTTCATCTAGTATCATATGATTTTGAGGGTCTTATCAATAAAAACAATTTGATGTAGCAAAGTGAAGCACAGCGTTTAGCCTTTTAACTGTTTATAACAAAGCTATGGTATGTGGCTGCAATCCAAACTTTTCTTTGCATGGATGCCCACTGATCGCTCCTCCCCTCCTTTATAAAAGGTGAAATTGAGTTGGGAAGGTAAAGAGTATCCTAAGAAGCTGTGATGATGACACTGTGAAAAGTAGGGGGATCCATAGCTAGCAGGTCAAAAAAGTCAATATGTCAGCTGCAAAAGTGTGATCAGAGCCCTGCTCCTTTGTAAGTGCAGTGTACAGTTGCAATGAATGTAAAAAAGAGAGTAGAATTTCAATCACACAATTGCAGCTAGCTTCTTGACTGTTTTGACATGCGTGCATATGCATGGATCACACAGTTTACTTCCTGGTAAATCGGAATTATATGATTGGTCAAATTGTGAGAACGCCAATATTAGGTTCTCCAAATTCCTGGTGTCTAGTGGCACAGAACAAAAAAAACCCTCTCCTTTTTGGGTTACTGTTCTTAATTCATGACTAAAAGCCAGCCCAAGAAATGAGAGGTAATATTTATGGCAGTGCAGTGTCACTTAACAGCTGAAACATCTCTCATTTCATCTCTACATAATGTGAATGAGTTGAAATCTTTGTAGTGTACCTTACAATTTTGTCTTGCCTAGTCTTGATTGGTTGTTTCAGCTCACTATTCTCACTATAATATCTGTTTGAATGTTCAGCAACTTCAAAAATGGTTGTATTATTTCACACGGTATTATAGTTCCTTCCTTCTTCTCATGTGCATTTCCCACATTGCCTTTATTTCCTTACCTATTATTCCATAGTGCTTCAGTAGATGAGACTTGTGGACCACAGTTTGAAAATCTTTGCACATTTGGAAGTGGAAAAAAAATTCCAAGGAATAAGACATAGTATCAAACACTATTTCAGATTTTTTTTTCCTTGGGAGAAATAGTACACATAGTACATTTTTCTGTGAAAGCCTCTGGGTCAGTATAAGCAGCTTGGCTTCCATCAAGGTTATCAGTTTTTCACCTGGTGGAATGAAAGAAATAATAACTACAGGTAATCCTCAACGTACAACCACAGTTGTGACTGGAACATCTGTTTCGAAGTGAGGCAGTTGTTAAGTGAGTCATATTTGATTTTATGATCTTTTTGCCATGCCTGTTAAGTGAATCACTCTGGTTGTTAAGTGAATTACATGGTCATTAAGAATATCCAACTTCCCCCATTGACTTTGCTCATTGGAAGCCGGATGGGAAGGTGAATGGCAGTAATGTGAGCCCAGGATTATGTAACTGTAATAAATATACGTTGGTTACCAAGTGCCCAAATTTTAATCATGCAACCATGGAGACACTGCGGCACTTGTTAAGTGTGAGGTCAGAAGTCAGTTTTTTTTCAGTGCTATCATAGGTTCAAACAATCACTAAACAAATGGTTGTAAGTAAAAAAAATACCTGTATAGATAAACCTGGTGACTTTAATCAGCTAGATTTTGCATCTAGAATGTAGATACAATTGGAAAAGTTTTGAGTTCTCATAGGCAGCAGGTAAAATATAATTTGTTTTCTCTTTCAGATTCTGGGAAGAAGGGAAGATTCTCATATTTGATGATTCTTTTGAACATGAAGTGTGGCAGGATGCTGATGCTTATCGGCTGATATTCATTGTGGATGTCTGGCATCCAGAGTTAACATCACAACAGCGACGCACCTTACCAGCTATTTAAGTGGGCTTGAGCTTTTGAGCTTCACATTGTGTGCTGAGAAGGACAACAAAAATAAAATGGAACTGTATCAAGAATGTGTAAGGATTTTAAGGCATCCTGTTCTGTGTACCACGCCCCATTACAGCACTGATCTGAATGCTCTGTATTCATGCTGCAAGTTGGAATTCTATGCTTTTATCAGCCAAAGAACATCCTGTGCTACGTTTTTGAAAGAAAACTTGTGCCAGACTTTTTTTTAATATGTATTTTGGAACTCCTTGACGTAAAAGCCACCTTCAAAAGCCTGAATGTAATAATAAGGAATGCAGACTTCCAGACACTATTATTGTGCAATTTCTGATCATTATGAGAAGGTTATTCAGAAACAGTATTCAGTGGATTGTGTCCTCAAGCGCTACATCCAGCTCTCCCGTAATAAAAGCAACCATAAGAACTTATAGAACAGTATGAACATTTATTATTGTTATCTTTTATAATTCTACTTCAGTTTTGTCCAGTGGATTTATAGGGTGAGCTGTAGATAAGATGAACAGGTGGTTTTGTATCTTATTTTTGATAGATAATGACATTTTTCCATCAGATACAGTATATGGATACTTTTTCTGTTCTCTTTGAACCACTTTCCTTTCGTAATTTTCTTTTAGTTCCCTTTTTATATTAATTTAGAAACAATGGAGCCTTATAACAGCAGCAATCTATTTTACCAAGGGTGACTTTTTTCTTCCAAGTCAAGGATGAATAAACATTTCCTTTGTACAATTCTAGATAAGAGCAAATTTTACCCAACTTTGATATTTGTGTTTATTTCTAATTTTTTATAATATAAAAACATATTTTAAGCTTTGGTGAAGTAGTTAGAGGCTTTGAGCTACAATTTTTGTCACCAACATTTTGATGCAGTTTTTTTTTTAAAAAAACAAACCAACTTTTTAATGCAGTTAATCTAAAGCCTGAATAAGAAATAATTAATATTCAGAGCCAGTTTGTAACATTTTGTTCTCAATTACAGCCAATTTCATATCCTACATGAAAGTAAGACAGAAAAAATAACGTATAAATATAGTTCTGTCATACTTCTGTTAAGTGATATCTACATGGTTTTCCCATTAATGAATGGTCATGGTTTTTTTTTAATGATTCATTTTCATTCAATCTATCAGTGCCAACTTTTGAACCTGTTCTGTCTTTTTTGGAGCCACTATACAATTTTTACATTCCTATTTGATTTAGTAAAATAGCTCTATGATGCAATAAACAGCGTTGCATAGATGTTTCAGATTATGTTCACTAAGACTAGTTATAAGCAATTAATTGCTCATTGCCAAAAGGTGCCGGATTGGTGTAATTTTATGCACAGAAATGTGCCAAGGTACACATTCCAAATATAGGTCTTCAAAATCCAACATGTGCTCCTGGAAATTTGAGCAAAATACAGCATTTCATAGATTGAATAATCTCTTAATCCGCCGTGATTGTTGTTTGTTATTTGCAATGGCAAAAGTTGTGAACTGAGGGTTGGAAACATTTTAAGGAGTACCAGTGTTGAAATAATATATATTGTCTGAGGCTTGATATTCATGCTCAGACTTTTCAATACTAAAAATGTATAAATCAATTTTCCAGGTGCCTCTTTTTCTTATCACAGGCACAAGGACTACAATACTTCTTCTTTTTAATTATTTATAGAAAATTGTTATAGAAAATTATATTGTTTGACTTCTCTCAGAAATATTCTTGTGTCTCTGGCATCTCTGGCAAACAAATAGTATATCTATTGTAGAACTGGTAGCAGCCGAACAATAGTGTACCTGTTTCTTTGGAATGCCTGTAAAAGTATGCAAGTTACTGAATTTCAGTATTTTTTTATTATTTTAAATGACTGGTCTTTCACAATGGATTTTTGGGGAAGATAGATATAGAAAGCAAAAAAGCTAATTATACCCAATCTACTGATTAACGTTTGGAGCACCCTTTTAGTATGGTTTTATTGCTGCTATAAAAAACCAATATGGGCCAAAAGTAAATGATGGACAGAAAACAAAAAGTGCCCCTCGTGAATATGCAGGACTGATTTCAGGATTATGCAATATCGAGCAAATTTATGTGTCCTTCCCATTAAAAAAAGATAGACTTCCATTTGATTTTTTAAATTTCAAATAAAACATTTTATGTAGTAAAGTTGCAAGATTCTATCCTTGCTTTTTGATATATAATTTCTAATTCAATTATTACAAATAGTCTATTTTATAGAAAAGATGTCTATAGCTCAGGATGGAACTGTGGAATTCTTGGCATTCTGAGCCTAGTTTGCTGGCAGAGGTTTCCTTACCCAACTAAAAAACATCATCAGTATGATTCGTCTATAAGCAAACAATCAAGCTCAGAAAGTACCAACGATTCCATTTTTATCCCAAAGCTGCTTTTTCCATGACCTAGTTGACTGAGAATCTCCATAGATAGATCCCATATGTATTTCATGTCCAACCTTAATCAAAATAAAATTATTAGTTTAATCCCTGGGAGGGGGGTCTCATACACATTCATTATCATTTTAGGATGACATCTCAAAATTTAAGAGTGCTTGTGGTAAGCCTTTCTGTGCCTTAAATTCAAGAGCTTTCAAAACTAGTATATGGCTGCATGTATATGTACATGGGTGTACAGATGCACACAGAGACACATATGCCCTAGGGCTGTGTATCCTTTAAAGAGGAACTCTGGATCTTATGAGGAACAAGACCATCATCTCTATCATATTAATTGATGCAGGGCCTCTTTCTTTTAGGATTCCTCATGAACTAATGCGTTAAAAGGATAACTGCACCATTTTTAATTCTGGGGCAGAAATTTTGAGAACACTTGCATTAATAAATATATAAAGGCTCAAGGTTCATACTTTGGTGAAGCCCAAAGCATTGTTTCCAAATAATTTTATTGTCTTAACACCTGCATCATATTCTGTTCTGGTATCAAATCTGAGTTGTGGCTTATAGCAATGAAGCAAAGCACAATTTCCTTGAACTACAGCTGCTAGCAATCCTTAACTGCAGAGCATATACATGTTTCAATTTTGACTTTTTTCAACCATATATATTATACACACATACAGTATATATATTATACTCTTTGTTACTGGAAGAAGCATATTTAAAAAGTGATGCACTGTAGAACTGTAGACTTAAGGCTTATTCATACTCAACCCTTGTAATATCAAGATTCTTTAGCAAAGATGTCCCTGTGATATTTTCAAAGTATATTATAATCTACACACAGGCTTATTTACTTCACAATTTCAGGATGTATTAGCTGAGTTGAAATTGCTAACTTGGATGTCTGTTTGACTCTTGTTTCTTTGTTTTGGCCACCATAAACATTAAAATCTCATGTCCAACTATTTTTGTCCACCTCAGGCATAATCAATTGGTACAATATCCTTCTTGTGATTATTGAATGGCTATATAAATTTACAGAGCTAACTGTCAAACATGGATCAATAGCAATAACCCTAACCCATGTGCCACGGAAAAATGTGAAAGACAGCTAAAACAGGTGGATGTAATCAATTAGTGTGCAAAACCCACTGAAAGCAAGAAACATTCATGGGGGTGGTGAATGGTGAGTGAAAAAAGAACAAGTGCCAAATATTCTTTCATTATGATAATAAATTACACAGATCTTTAGATAATATTTTAATGCTTGTTGCAGCCTTTTTTTCCAAAATTTACAATGCATCTGGTCATTGTTTTTGGAGGGTATGAAATCCTACTGAAACATAAGTGCAGCATATTCCCTAAACCATACATTGGTTAAAAACTCGTTTGTTTATGATTAACAGTTTTCATTGTTGGCTCCAAGGCAAAAAAAAAAAAAAAATGACCAGGACAAGCTGTGGTCCAGAGTAAGCTTTCTTTATGAACAGAGACCCTGTATTTCACTTAGAAGAAAGGACTGATTGAGCATTAACTGATTTCATAGAAGAAAGTAAGTCATACTCAGCTCTGGAACAATAGAAAAGTTAATTAAAGTATATTATCTCTGCAGAAAAATGTACAAGCAACATTTTTAGCACTATAGATTAATCAGTTTCTAAAAGATCAATTCCCCACTAAAGATACTTGATAGCAACTTGATTTGATTCATCATATATGGCCACCATTGAAAAAAATAATTACTTCAGAGCACCACCTAGGAGTTGTATAGCCATCCTTGGTTGATGGTGATTAAGCCTCTCTATGAATATGGCTTAATTGTTCTCAGATTAAAGATTGCTAAATACTGCTATGTCATATTGTGATATGCAATTAAAGCATTTACTGTATTTGAAGAAATAAATTCACAATAAAAATGTTGGTACAGCTGATTTGTAAAAAAAAAAAATAGTGTTTGTTTTTATTTCTTTATAGGAATTGGATGGGACCCCAAACAGAACAAAATCTAGAATAACAACCTGTTCTTTGGCTTTTGATCTCTGGGTATTTTATGATTTGTTCCACTTTTCTTTCTAATGATAGTATATTCAATAACTGATCCCAAGCTTTTTCTTTCTATTATAAATATAACCTATATTCGCAGTCAGTCAAATCTGACTTGGCTATATCTTTAACTGATTGCAGGAGAAAATATACTTAGGGAATTCTACTGAACTCAACTGACCTAAACAAAAAATCCTCAATTGGAATATTAATCTCCCAAGACATTCAAGACACCTACTTGTATGTGCATGTATTTCACATATGCTTTTCCCAGTTGGGTGCCCTCCAAAAAGATTAGATTACAATTTCTATTATGCCTAGTAAACATGACTGATACCATGCTGGTGGTGATGATGGGAGATAATTAGGAGATATTTCTGTGCTGCAAACTAAGGTTGGCTTCTTACCGCAATACTTAAACTCAAGACATTTTTAAAGTGGCTGTGTAAATACATATTTATGTGTATATGCACAGGCATGCATACCTCTCTAATTTTTATTTAAACAAAACTGTAAATCTCTGCCTAAACAATATGAGGGAACTTCAATGGATCCATCTTTCAGTGACTGATCCCTAAAAGCAATCTGTATTTCAGACATTATTAATATAATTCACTCTTTTAAAAAATTGTTTTACAATCAGACTTGTTCACTTATTATTCTGAGCCACAAGGAATCTTTTACCTCTGGCTTTGGATACAGACACATGGCTGGTGATAATCATTACTTGCTCCACAAAGATGGAGTGCTTGGTTTTTTTTTAAGCTGAATGCACATTAATGTGTATTAAACCTGTCTTTTGCTTCAAGAGGATTGTGGACCACTGAATTCTGAGGATACAGCTGTATTTCGCAGGGATTTCAATCTCAGTCTAGAGCTAGTAGTGGCTGGGTGTTCTCATTCACATGCTGTTCTTCATGTTTTAGTATTCCGGGTTCCACCACAGATTGAGACCTGAAAAAAGCAGAAAGATTGGCAAATATTGCTTAGAAATTAAATGGCATGCCTATTGTTTGTTGCTATTGTCTTTTTGGTACAAAATCCATGTATTATTTCAAAGAGGTAGCTAGCAGCTGTATATTTTTCCATTCCTGAAAAAACTTGGAAGCCAATTTGGCTCACGTACTATTAAGAGGACTCTAAAACTTTGCCCTTGGGAAAGTTTTAGTTCAGATAGGAAGGCATACCAGCACTTTGCAATGGAGAGGTGGGGAATCCATTCTTTTCAAAGAATTGTTTTAGAATAATGTCAATGGCAGGTGAGGAGTCTGTGTACTGCAGCATTTTATTGCACCAATTTTCAAAAAATGCATGTAGCAGTAACTGAACAATATTCCGAAATGCTCTGAGATCTACCACACAGATTTGAATTAATGGTGGACTGTGATTCATTCATGTTGAATGCCATTTAACCGTTAACTAAATTTAAAAAGTAGAAGTTATATTCCACCTAAATAATCAACAGCAGTTACTTTAACACCACTACCAGGTAAAAATAGCAAAGCTACCATCTTCTTTCTTTTTAAAACTATTAATAAAAATTATCTTGGGAATAGGAAATCAGTTCCAGCTTGTTGCAAATGGGTTTTTTTTTCTTTCCAAGGGCAAATGATCTCTTCACTGAAAGAAAAGAGGGAGGCTGCTTTTCTTCTCTAACTTTCTAACTCTCAGATTAAGTCTTGGATCATTTGCAATGAATTGAAAGGACTTACTCCTTTACCAAAGCTAATTTGCAAGATAAAGATTTGAGCCTGAGAATCACATTTGAATCTTAGGCTCATCTAAGAAAATGGCATGGAATGAAAGCAAATAATTATATTTCCCGTGATTAGTTTGTCCATTATGGGTCAACCAAAGTGGTTTCATATTATAATAATCTAAGCAACATCACAGGTAGTTTACTGGGAAAGAAAGAATAAGATCTCTGATAATATGATTCTGCACACTCCTGAAAATTGGTCTATATGTGCCTTTCTGTAATACTAGGTTAATATTATACCTAGTTAAAAAAAATCCAATCTACACCTGATCCCTTAAAGACCAAAAGAGTGTTACTCACTCTTGTTTGTTAAAGTTAGTCTCAGTTTAATTTAAAAAAAAAACTGTGTAAAAACCGCAATCAACAATTTCCCAGCTTTTTATTGTTGTCCTATATTATTTTTCTATCTTCTTAACAGCCTTATTTACTACAGCCAATGTGTGGGGGAGGAAAGAACCAGGAACCATGTATATTCTCCTGGGTTTCCTCCACTGGTTGAGCTTTGTGCCTTTTAAATTATGACCAATCAATCAGGTTCCATTGTAAAGCTTCCATTCACTTGGCTCTCATCTCCAGTCTGTTCATTTCTGTCTAATTTTTCACCTATTATACAACTTCTCCAGGCTATTGTCGTCCAATGATTTATTCCTGCCACAGAAAATATTCATTCTAAGTTTTTATTGTTTTGATTACGTGGGTGTCTGATTTTTAGCCATACCATTTTTTGTGGGAACTTAGAAAGGCAAGGACACAAAAATCCATTACTACTCTTCTCAATGACCAGGTAACTGTACAATAGATGGCTGTAGACCTAAGCAACTTTGAGAGCCACTGTTAAATATAGCAGACAAATTGGGGTCTTCTATTGATCTATCAAAGTTTTCACACTTGTATGGCTACAATGAAAAACATTTGTATATGAGTTTCTTTTTACTATTTAAAGAAGATAGCATATGTCAAAACCTGATAATATTAAGTGTTATAGGTGATAGCTGTGAGTGAGCTAGTGCATACATGTTAATATTTTCAATCTTAATGTTTTCCAGAGATACAGCCATGCTAGTCTTTTATATGATGTATAAGCTTTCATGCTCATAGTGATGAGACAAAGTGGACTGTGATCCACAAAAGTTTATGCAATATCAGATGTGTTAGTTTTAATAACTGAATAGAATAGAGCTGGAAGGGACCTTGGAGGTCTTCTATTCCAGCCCCCTGCTCAAGCAGGAGAATCTACACTACACCTCAGACATCTTCTTAAAAATCTCCAGTGATGGAGCACCCACGATTTCTGGAGGTAAGCTGTTCTACTGGTTAATTGTCTTCACTGTCAGGAAGTTTCTCCTTAATTCCAGGTTGCTTCTCTCTTTGATCAGTTTCCAACCATTGTTTCTTGTCCTGCCCTCTGGTGCTTTGGAGAATAACATGACGCCCTCTTCTTTATGGCAGCCCCTCAAATACTGGAACACTGCTATCATGTCTCCCCTATTTCTTCTTTTCTTTAGACTAGCCAAACCTAAGTCCTGCAGCTGTTCTTTATATGTTTTAGTCTCCAAAAGACTGTTGATTTCTGCCATACATTTCTTCCCAACAAGTTTATAATCCACATTACAAAGAAAAAGGGGATGGAATCAAGAATTTTTATTCATATATTAGATTTTGTACCCTGCTTTTATAAGTTTTATAAATAACTCAAGGCAGCAAATGGGTCTATGACAATTCTCCACAGCCAACTCGCAAGTTGGCCACAGTGAGTTGGCCGCGGCGAGTTGTTCCATTCTGCAGCAAAGACACATACTACTACTTCCTCCTCCTATTTTTTCCCAGGACAGCAACCTTATGAGGGAACTGGGCTGAGAGAGAGTGATTGGCCCAAAGTCACACCTCTGGCTTTCATGGTTAAGGCGGGATTCGAACTCACAGTCTCCTGGTTTCCAAGCCAGCACCTTAACCACTACACTAAACTGGCTCTTTCCTGGTGAAACATACCATTATACTATCAAAATCTTACATTTCATTTTTATGATCTACAGTTCAAAAATAGTTTATTATATTTTAGATGTTTTTTCACTGAAGTAGAGAAGATTGAATCTTAATCTTTTCAAGTTATGTGGGACTCAGAGAGTTTGATCAAGTCCTGTACCTTGTGTCTGCATCTGTTTGGTTCTTGATAATCACTATTTGGAGAAAATAAACATAGTTTATCTGGATTTCAGTTGGTGTTCAAGCAAACCCGAATAAGATCATTGCTCCTTTAGATCTTCTTTATTATCATGGAAGACCAGAAGCTGTGCATAACCCTTCATTGGCAGCATTATTTGAATTTTCAATTGAGCAGGCCAAATAAACCCTACATATATGTTTATGGTGTCACTTGTCTAAACCCTAAGAGATTTCAAGAACAATATTTACCTATGTTAGGCTTTCTTTAGAAGGAGAAATCACCAAAGACTTGTGGTCATTTTGAGAGGGAGAGGGAGAGGGAGAGGGAGAGGGAGAGGGAGAGGAAGGGAGGGAGGGAGGGAGGGAGGGAGGAGGAAGAGGAAGAGGAGAAGGAGGTGGTGGTGGTGGTGGTTTGAGAAGAGCTGAACAATACCTTTAGTACTCCAACAAGCTATGTATATACAAGCTATACTGTCAATTCTTCTTTCTCTTGCAGTGTGGGCAGCATACAGAGGACAATTAAGTTGTCATAGTAACTAGAGATGGAAAAGAAATCTTTTAAAAGGAGTCAAATGCAGAAAGTATTTTCCAATAGGAAAAAATGGAATTTGTTCAGCCATTTTATTTATAAAGTCCCTATAGGCATAACAGTTTGAAAGTGCCCTTCTAAACCATGATATCCACAAGGGGATAAAAAATTGGTGTGATATTGATGTGAAATCAAGCTCCATCTCTCTCACAAGTTTGTGCTCACCCTTTTGACTTTTTGACTCCCCTTTCAGCAGAAATCTCTGCTTCTAAATCTCTACATCTGTGATTTAGGATTCATTTCAATGTAGATTTTTATTCACAAACATCATGAGGATAGGACCAGCAAAGGTCTCCCAAAACCTTGTATGTCCAATTGTTTTTACCAAATTGATATTGATTTCACAAAAGAAAAAAATATTGATTTATACATAACATTAATTAAATAAGAATGAAATCTAATTGGATTTAATTGTAAACCCAGGTTCCACTACTCTATCACACAAAAATAATTCAGACTAATTCAGAGGAATACCATTCTCAACATAGCAGAGATTGTAATGCAGCATCTAGCAGCTATAGCACTCCCATGCACACAACCAAAAATATGGATCTGGTATGTTGATGACACATTTGTCCTAATAATAAAGGAACAATTGAGAAAACACATGAAACAATCACCAACATCTTCAAAGGATAAAATTCAAAAGGGAAGAAGAAAATAACCACACACTACCTTTTCTGGATATCTTCTTCAGGAGAGGAAATGGCAGCAAATTAGAAAAGCAAGTCTATCAAAAAACCACCCACACTAACCACATGCTCCATTACCACAGTAACAATCCAACCTCCCACAAGGGGATAAGTATAAGAAGATTGTTCAGATGAGCACAAATTCACTGCAGTAACCCAGAATACCAGGAAAATGAAACAGACCAGATATTCAACACCTTCCAATAAATTGGATACCCATGCAACTTTATCAAAAAGTGTCTGACTACTCAACTCACTAGAATACAACCAACAAAAGTTATAAAAAGGATAATAGTACCATACATCAAAAACATTTCAGGAATAACCAACAGGCTGTTAAACCACACAGCATCATCGTAGTACACAAATCAACTAAAGCACTCCAAAACATCTTAAGTAAATCAAAAGACTCAGTAGCCCAAGAAAGAAAAAAACATTAGTCATCCACAGCATACAGCATAGGACTGTAACAGCCACTATACAGGACAAAAAGGCAGACTAGCAGTCTTCACATCCATGAACATCAAATAGCAGTCAGAAGATGTGGTGAAAATTCCTTAATCTCACAGCACACAGACAAACTCAGATATAGTTTCAACTGGAAAACTGTGAGCATTCTAAACTAAGCTAAATTAAAAAAAAGAAAATGCTAGGGAATTTCTGGATGCTTGGCACTCAGACAAATCAGCCATCAACAGGCACATAGAGATAAACTACACACTATTCAAAAGGGACAATAAAAAACTAAAAAGGAAACTAAAAGACTAGATTACCTCTTTATCAGCAATCAACACTAAGATAAACAAGAATTAACGCGATTAACATCAGACAAACAATCAAGCAATAAACAATACCCTAATCAAGGAAATACTAACTTAGACAAATAATCAAGTAGTAAACAAGGCACCATCGAGGAGAAAACAACACCACCACTAACACTGACAAGGTAATAAGCTACTGTATGTAAACAGGGACCAAACTCCATTCTCTTCCAGCACTGAAGATGTTACCTAGTCTGGTAACAAAATGTCTGCAAGCAAACAACTAAGCTCAGACAGCATTAAGGTTCTCTCTTCAACCCTGAATTACATATATTCTCTTCTATTAAAATTAAGAGTTTAGTATTTAAACTGCCATCTATATTTGCTATTACCAAATAGGTAATGGCTATAATACTTTGTATTGTACTTATTGGTATCTGCAGCAACAAGAAGAATTGAACATGAGAAATGTTTGTGTGTTTGTTTTCTATGATTTAGAGTTATTCTCCTATGCATATTGATGAAAAACTTGTACTAGTGAGAGCACAATCCTATGTATACTCATTCAGGATTAAGCCTCATGATATCCAGCTAAAATCACTCCCAAATAAATGCTAGATTATAATCTGGATATGCTCTGTACCAGTCCAATGCCTTAATGTGTGGCAAGCCTGATTTCTACATAAGGGCTAATCCAAAAGAGTGGGACCATAATAACAACAAGATTCTAGCCTTGGCTCCTATCTGTGCATGAAAACGAGGGAAAGAAATACTTCTTTGTAGGATTATTGTACATAATGTTTTGGTTCCGGTAGGAAGAGGCAGTCTAGCAAGTACTTTGGTGCCAAGCTATGTAAGGCTCTATAAGTCAACATCAACTTGAATTTCACCCAGAAACTCTTGGAAGCCAATGCAGCTCCTTCAGCAGAGATGTTTTCCTGGGAGCTACCATATTTAGTGCCAACTGCATCCAACAAACTAAACAAATATATCTAAACATTGTCAGAATCAATAACCCAAATAGCACATATTAAGAAATCTTTACTGAAATCAAGAGACATATCAAGATATATAGCATTTCAAAAATTGATTAAGAAAGTCATGCAATAAAAAATGATGTATCATAAGACTTATTCATTAGCTGCCCATGCAGCTTTTTGATAATTATCACATTGCTTTCAGACTGCTTGGAGATCAATTATGGCATGAACTGCTCTAGAATTGTTCAGTTATCAGACTATTATAAGAAATATAACTGTCTTTAGAAGTGTGATTTGAATAGTACATGGGTAGATTTAACTTTTTAACTTTCAGAGCATTATAGTATCAGAGTTTATTTTACTCTACTGCCTCCATGATAAAGAGATTCCTTTCAATCCTGTTTGGTGTGATCGGAAGGCACCCAGATCACTTGTTATGTATAACATGACACCATGGTAAGCATTAATGTACCTAGTATATTTGACACCCAGAGCACATAAGTTTTAATATTCCCTTCCTTTATCCTTGAGACCCGCTTTGGTGTAATTGTCAATGTACCAGGATAGAACTGGGAGACCATGAGTTCTAAGTCCTAAGTCAGTTGGGTGATCTTAAGCCAATAATTTCTCTCAGGCATAGGAAGAAATAAATGGCAAGCATTTTCTGAAAAATATGGCCAAGAAAAGTGCAGGGGTAGTCACCAGGGATCAAAACTGACTTGAAGGCACACATTTCCTCTGTGTCCGCTGCTTGGTCATCTTGATCATTTCAAGATTTCAAGCCCAGTTACATTTCCTAATCCTCTAGCTAAAGAGAGAAAACAAACAAAATCCTTCTAGATCAGGGGTGTCAAACTGGCGGCCCACAGGCCGGATGCATTACATGCAGGCCACGCCCACCCCAGCTGTGCAAAGGCAAAAAACCTTGCACGTGACATCACACATCACGATATGTCACGTGACGCAGTCGAGTTTGACATCCGTGTTCTAGATGAAAGCTTTTTTCTTTGATCTTACCTTTTCATGAGCTTTGGAGAGCATTCCCTCTCTAGGTTGGAACACGAATGCTTCACATGCATGGTGTTGTAAGATGTGTGAGTGTATTCATTCTCATCGCTGTAATCTGGTCCAAGTAACGTCCGAGCCCATGTGCCCATGTCATAGGGAGGAAGAGTCCCTCCAAACTCTGAGGGTAAGCAATCAGGGTGTATGAGCTGGTGAAGACTATTAAGATTGTTTCCATGAAGAAAGATCTTTTTAAAAACAAAACAGATATTAGAAGTTGTTAATGTGTTTGTGCCATTCCAATAATCAAGTTTTTTGTAAAAATAAGAAAAAGGTACATAAATAATGAAAGAACCATGGAGTTGACCTTTATGTAAATAAAATCTGCCTTTGAATAATGTTCAGAAAGCTGTACAGCCAGTTCTCGGCTTATGACAGTTTGTTTAGTGACCATTCAAAATTACAATGACATTGAAAAAAGTAACTTATGACCATTTTTCACACTTATTATTGTTGTAGCATCCCCATGGTCACATGATTTACATTCAGATGCTTGACAACTGACTGATTTTTATGACAGTTGCAGTGTCTGGGAGTCATATGATTCCCTTTTGCGATCTTCTGACAAACAAAGTCAATGGGGAAACCAGATTCACTTAACAACCGTATTACTAATTTAACAATTACAGTGATTCACTTAACAAATGTGGTAAGAAAAGTGGTAAAATGGGGCAAAACTCACAATAAATTTCTCACTTAACAACATAAATTTTGGGCTCAATAGTGATCATAAGTTGAGGACTACTTGTACTGTTTTGCAAAAAAAAAAAAAAGTCATTGACCTATTGGAATTCAGGCAGCCTTTTGTTGTTTTCATTGCCTTCTGATTTGTTTGAAGGCAAATGGTTTTTGTCTCAAAATATAAATTCCTATATGGACATTCACACGTTCATCAAGAGGTTTGTTTTATGAACTTAGACAGTGATGAATGAAAACAACCATTATGCCTATGTTGTTGACCATCAACTCCAGATAAAATCAGTCCACTTTGCGCCAAACTTCGCATGTATTTCAGCCTCCTCCAGATGTATTGGACTTCAGCTCCAACTAACAACAATCTGGAAATGAGAGCTAGTTAATTGCATTCCTACTCTTCTACCTACTTGTTTTAGTATTCTTTTCATTTTTGTTCTCTTTTGAAAAATATTTTTAAGCATAGTTATCATCTTACTGTACGACTATATTATTAGAATGTGATAACCTCATACATATTTATATATGTCTAAGAAATCTTTTAGCCTGGATATGTATGCATGCATGGATCATAAAAATCAATATTCGAAGTTTTTTCTTTTATTTGAAGTTTGAAGTTTAATTATTATCAGTGATTTTGTTCTCATCTGGTTACATAAAAGACAATATGCTAAGCAGAAAAAGCAGAGATTTCTCCCAAGGTTAAAATGTTTGGGGGGAAAGGATCAGTCCTTTGATAACACAGACTTGAAATGTTATCTATCAATGTGTTTAACAACCTATTGTGCCCTGGATTTCCTCTTGCAAGGTTTCTTGAAAGAAAGGAACAGGGTGAATAGTCCATGACATTAAAGGGCTTTGGGTTGAAAAATAGATAATTTTATATTTTACAGAAAGTTGCTTTTTCCATGTATATATGATTAAAGATTTTCTGACTTGGCTTGGAATCTGAAAATAATTCTCTCCTGCTGAAATAGTGATTAAATGTAAATTGCTGACAAAATCCAGCTGAGTCTTCATCCCTTGTTGCAAACCACAAAGAGAAAAAGGAAGAGGCAGAGAAGAGTAGAAATTCCCTAATATCACTTGTAGGCATGCAACATCACAGACTTGTTTCATTTTCTCATTACCCTTTTCCGTGTCTTGTCTTTGAGGAAGGGCTTGATTAGCGTGTAGAGAGCATGGATGTACCACGGCTGGTTCACAAAATGGATGCCTCCAAAGCGAGCAGGGAAGCTGTCCTGTGGAGAAGAAAGAAACAGATTGTAATTAACAGAGACTAGCAGAGATAAATAGCAGGGCCTGTTGTCAGAAGAGTCATAGAAGGTCAGAACAGAAGGCTTGGCTATTAACTGGTGCATTTGAGAGACAACTCAAGCACCTGCCATACTACATTGTGTTTTAGTGCTCGATTTGCTCTTTTATACAATAGAACAAAATTGAAAACATCCACAGGTGGGGCTTACCTTCATCCTAGTTTTATTTCCATGAGAGTCTGTATATTGCATATCTACAAGAATGTGTGAATCTGTTTTCAAGCACCACAGAATGAATATGACATGGTTTGTGTTTTGTAATTCCCAACTGGCTCACATAACCAAGTCCCCTTAGACATCTATGGACATGATTTACCTCTTCACCCTGTGCCTTTGCCCTTCCTCAGCCCTTCCTCAAGGCATTGTTTCAATAGCTGAACTTTCTGGGTGAACGAACTGGGCATAAAGGACAGAGGAAGATATTAAGTGAAGCTGTCAGAGGGAGGAACAGCATACAGCGCCATGGCAACTGACACAAATGCCTGCTTTGGGGGTTCTGAAGAGATACCCAACAAATTAGTATGCAGAAAGAGTCAAGCTTTTCAGAGCCAACAACAGTGGGATTCTTTTTCAGGTAAGCATAATGCTTCTATAGATGAAGAAGCAGCATCTGAAATTATGTTTCTCGTAGATCCTGTTAAATCAGTATATTAGATTCATAGGAAAACAGGGAATAAGCTAACAGTAAATGTTTGTTAGCAATCCAAATTTATATATATATATATATATATATATATATATATATATATATATATATATATATATATATATATATATATATATATATATATCAATAAATAATGCTGATCACCAAGAGAATAAGTAAAAACATTTAATAAACTAAATCTAGCTTTCGTCGGGCACTCCCGACATCGTCAGGGTTCAAAGAAGGCGGTTCCTGGGAGGGAACTTACAAGTTCCCTCCCAGGAACTGCCTTCTTTGAACCCTGACGATGTCGGGAGTGCCCGACGAAAGCTAGGTTTAGTTTATTAAATGTTTTTACTTATTCTCTTGGTGATCAGCATTATTTATTGGTTTTGATATGGATATACCCAAGAGTCGGATTTTTACTCTGATTACTAGTTATATATATATATATATATATATATATATTCAAAATGCACTTAAGATGAAGGGCAAATTTCTTCTCCTGAGATTTCTGAATAGGAAAGAGCTGTGCATTCAACAGAACAAAATAGCTGTCTTTACAATATACTACTCAATTATTCATTTAACACATTTATAACCTGCTCGCTCCAGATAACACTAGCCAGTAGCAATTTACAATATAAAAACAAAACATTAATAATAAAAGCTCACCAGTAGAAAAACAGAGTTAAGATCATAAAGCATTATATAAAATTCAGAAACTGCAGGTAACCAGAACATGGCAGCCAGGCTTCTATTGGGATTTCTCAGAGAAAGCAAAGCCTTGTTGAATGTTTTCTACAGATGTAATATTTTGTGTGGAACATCATGCAAGAATAGATGGGTCAAGGCCAAATTTCTTTAAAAGGTAAATGTAATTTCTACAGTTTCAAGAGAAATGCGTAATTTGAACACCCTATTCAAGCAATCAGATTTAACCATATTTTCAACTGGGAAACCAAGCCAAGTCCAAAAATGCTAGGGAATTTCTAGAAGCTTGGCACACTGACAAACTAGCCATCAATAAACACATAAGCAATATCTATACTATGCAAAAAAAATAATCAAGAAGTCAAAAAGGGAACAAAAAGACCAAAGCATCACCAATCAGCACCCAGATGAGTATTGATTAACTCAAAGATTAACATCAGACCAACAATCAACTAAACAATACCCCAATCAAGGAACTGCCAAACAAGCCAACAATAAACAGCCCAACCAAAGACCCTCTAAACCACCCTCACCAATACTGACAGAGCAAGCCACTAGAATATAAACTAAGAGCAAACTCTATTCCTTACTAGCACTGATGATATTACCTAGTTTGGGTAATGAAACATCTTTAAGAAAACAACCAAGTTCAGAAGGCATCAAGGACCCTTCATTTCAACCCTGAGCTACAAATATTCTCTTTTATCAGATCTCTTTTACTACTGCACCTTAGAGCAGCTGCAGGTATTCTGTAGGTTCTTGGTGAAGTATATTGCATGTCCCTGTGGCTCTTCTGATTTTCTGTTTAAGAAACCCTGATAGAATGCCTGTTGCTAGGTTATACCTCTTCAAAAAAAATATCATGTTATAAACCTTTTCATTCTGAATATCTTTGCCAGCCTAGATGCAAATGGAACCACAGAACCTAATAGTATATGATTAATCCTGTTAAACCATTTCCTTCATACTTTTCACTGTAGGAAATAAAGCAAGGAGAAAAAAAACCAACAGGAAGTCTTTCTTTATAATGCTTTTGTGACATAAGTTTATCACACCTTGTCCATGAATATCACTAGAATATTAGCTGCAAACCTTCACTTCCTGCTGGTAAATCAAGCACTTGATTGATCTGCCCACATGCTCCCATTTAGAACATTTATATTCAGTTTCACTCATTTCTGCATGAAAGTTAGCATTATAAATGAATCAAATATGTCAAGAAATTAGGAAACAAGAAAACAAACAGCCAGTCTGTGGGCTTTACAAAAGCTAGCAAGCAACACAGATGGAGGAACAAAAAAAAACCCAAGGAAGGGAGGGAGGGAGGGAGGGAAAGGAAGAGAAAGGAAGAGAAAGGAAGGAAGGAAAAGGAAAGAAGAAATTATCTATTATAGAGATAATCAAATCTAATATCCTTAGTTTAGTTTCAATTCATTTCAACACTGCCTTTGTAGTTATTGTCATTGTCAGCATTGCTACTTTTAGGCAAAGAACATTTTTAGGATCATCTTTAATTCTGAACAAATGAAGAGACTAACAAACGAAGGCAATCTGATATTCAGCTTCTGAAACTCCTCTTACCCATTCAAAATACTGAGTAGCATCTTGACTATGCCAAACATCTCATCACTTTCTTTAATCTTATATTAAAAGATAGATAAAACTGCCACGGAAAGAAATCATCAAAAAATCCATTAATTTTCTGTTAGATTAAATACTGAAGGTCCAATGAAAAAGAAAGAATGTATCTGGTAAATAAAAAATGTACAATATATCTTTTGACTCTTTGGCCTCTGACTCACTTGGAAGATAATGGAAAAATTTGCAGTGGCCTGAAGTGTTTGCCAAACAACTTGATATAGTTATTATTATTATTATTATTATTTATTGTATTTTTACCC